CTTTTTCCTTCCAACAGTCCAGCATGATGTTGTGCAGTGGTTTCGGGCAGTTCGCTGGGCAGGACATCCTGTTACCCTTACTGATCCAAGTCACCGCCTGCATGTTTGACATGTCTGGAAAAATAAACATAAAAAAAAGCTGGAACATAAGTGATTGTCCAACAGAACATTATCCATAGTTAAATGATTTTACAGCAGAATTCTTACTTGGATAAGGCATCTGACCAAATGTCATGATCTCATAGAGCAAGATTCCAAAGGACCAAACATCTGATTTGATGCTGAACTTGTTATCGTGGATAGCTTCTGGAGCGGTCCACTTCACAGGAAATTTAGTCCCCTCCTCGGCCTCATATACATTCTCATTTTTCTGTTACAACCAAACACACACAAAAAAAAAAGAGAGAGATTTTAAATGTAAAACAAACCCAAAGAAAGTCACTTTCAGCACAAATATGGTGTAATGGAGAAAAGCCATTGTGAAGTCTTTGCAAACCAAACCGTTAGTTTCAGCCAAATTAGTTACAGTCAAATTTCAAATCTAAAACCTACCCTTAAAAATCCTGCCAATCCAAAATTAGTCACTTTGCAGACGTTGTTTTCTCCCACCAGTACGTTCCTGGCAGTAAGGTCTGTGTGAATGTAGTTCTGTTGCTCCAAGTAAGCCATGCCTGCTGCCACCTGGGCGGCCATTTCAATCTGGTGTGTGATATAGAGAGTGGCCCCTTTGTCCTCTGTTATCAAGATAGAAAAACATGAACAGAATCAGTAACAGTTTAAGTTTTCTGTTTAAAGATCAGCCATTGTTTTACAACCATGTCCAAATATCTGATAAGAAAAATGCAGCTGGTGGTGCTGGCCACAGGGTTTGAACTGTAATAGTGTCCTTTATTCAAACATTTTATTTTAATAGCAATGATTTAAACCAATTTTAATATGGTGTTTAGGCATTGCAACAGGTTCTATGAGTATTAAACCATTTTAGTAATTAATGAGCCATTATCAGGGTGGATGTCATTAATCATAAAGACCATTAACTGTCCACCGGTCTTTCTATATTTTTTTATTTTTTTATTTGAAGTATCAACATGGCACTGTCAAGAGGCTCGTGCTATTTCCATTTGGTAATACTAGTACCACACTTTATAACACCTATAAGCCATTAAGGTCATGCATGGCATTCAAAACTTTTTAACAGAGAATACTTTTGAATCCACCTATGTATATACTTTACAAACCAAATTCCTTTTCTTAAGTTACCTGTAGCATTACGTGGTAAATATCAATCAAATTATGACCTAAATTCTACAATCTCTTTTTAAGAACGATCAGAAGCTCTTTAGGTGCAAGTTGAGCATGAGGTTTGAATTAGAATATGTGTACAACTTACTTCTGAGGTATTCCAACAGGCATCCATTCGTCATCAACTCTGTGATTATGTACACTGGTTCCTCTAAGGTGCACACAGCATACAGCTGAATCAGCTTAGGGTGCCGCAGCTTCTTCATTAGCTGAGCCTCTCCCAGGAATTCTGCAGCATCCATTGTACCTGAAAAAGCCACTTTATTGTTGTTGTTGTTTTACTTTCCTATATTTCCTATTTAGAATAAAGTCCTAAATGTTCAAATGATTTGAAATATTTTTACTTTTTCATTCTCACAGCAAGACAGGAAAGTAATCAATACTAACTGTTCTATATCAGTCTAATTGTCATGATCTCAGCATCGATGCCTGGTCTGATTGCTCATTTCACACACCTGCTTAGCTCCACCCAGTTCTCATTACTGCCTATCTGATCCACCTGTACTAGACTCTATTTAACCAGCCTTCAGACCAGTCATCAGTGCCACATTATTTTCTAAGTTCTCTAGCTTACCTGTATTCTGGTTACCTGATCCTGATTTTCTCTGTGTCTCAACCTCTTACCCTGCCTGTTTCCGTCTGATCTGTTGGACTGATCTGTCTTCTGACTCCTGCCGGATACCTGCCTGTCTGTGTACTGTACCTGGACCGGTTACCCCGAATCCTTTCTGGATTCTCCCTCGGCACCTCACTGTATATCCTGGCTCTGACAACTGAGCATGTTACCAATATCAGCTTTG